TTTAGAGGTGTCAGATATATAGCTTCCCTGGTGGCTCAGCTGGTAAAGAATCCACCTACAATGCAGGAGACCTGGGTTCGATTCCTGGGTTGGGAACGATCCCTTGGAGAAGGGAAGGGCTACCCACTCCAGCATTCTGGCCTAGAGAATTCCAGGGACTTGAAGAGTCCATGGAATAGTCCATGGGGTCGAAAAGAGTAGGACACCACTGAGTGACTTTCACTTTCAAATGCACAGCAGGTGCTCAAATATTTACTAGGTAAAAAAGGATAATCAGAACCAGATTCATAGAGACCAATCTGGAAAAAATAACTGTAACCTGAAAACCAACTCACTTCTTAAGTTTTCAGAGTATGTAAAATTGAGGTGTCTGTGATGTTAATTCTATGATCGTGCTGCTTTTCAGCTTTTCAGCTTGTCTTCGGTCAGCGCCTTCATCCCATCAGATGAGTACTAGCACGCAGCCAGGCGCCATTCTCCACAGGCATCCCATGTTCCAGCTAAACCAAGCTGTGCCATGACGGCCAGGTGGGCAGATACAAATGCTATGTTTAGTCTGGAACGCAGATGTAACATTGTAACTTTGTAAGAAAAGGAAAACTTCTGAACTAAAACCACTGAAAGAAAAGCTACATCCAAGTATTTTTTTTTGATTGTGAGAATGCACAGATTTTGAGGGAGAAGATCTTTTATGGGAATTTTAGGAGAGAATGAATTTTTTTTTTTTACATTTATCAAACAAACCATGGTTTAAAAAGTTCTAGTGAATCACCCTAATGCTACTTACTTCACACATAGCCCTAGCACTGCCTTGCTCTTTGGCTTCCCTCTGCTGTTCCGGTCCTGTAACCCCAATGAGTCTCAGGCCCATTTAGCTCTAGACAAAGTTTAAGCATCACCTCTTCTAGGAAGCCTTCTGTGATTATACCTTATGTGCGCCTTCCCCCCATTCCCTGCCTCCCATCAACACCTTGTGTGTTATTCTCTACAAGAGCACTAACCACACTGCATCATGGTTATTTGCTCTACTTTGCGTCACTGAAGGCAAATACTCAGATCTTTTTCATGAATGAATGTAGGTAAATCTGATACTGAAATTCTTACGCATATAAAGATTTCTTTATTTTCTTGTTCTACTTTTGATTACTATTATAAGAATAATTTAAACCCAACTAGAAGAATTTAGACACAGCTATTTAAGTAACTAGTAAATCTTTAAATAAGCGATGTCTTTCTACATTTGGCAATTTCATAGTAAAGACATCTATAAAGTTACCTAGTATGAAATAATTAGAGATGTGCCATAGATGTAGCATTTGTTACAGGAATATTCAGCAAAGGTCAACAACCCAGGATTATGCTGCACACATACCATGGAATATTTCGCTGCCATGAGACGTCATCCTATAGAAAAACAAACAGAGAATATTTTCAAATGTAATGTTAAAATACATGCACAGAACAGATGCATTCAAAACCTTTGTTTTGAATTCTAAACTTTTCATTCTCTGGTTAATAAAACTGAATGTTCCTTTTTGGAGAAGGAAATGGCAACCCACTCCAGTATTGTTGCCTGGAGAATCCCATGGACAGAGGAGCCTGGTGGGTTACAGTCCATGGGGTCGCAAAGGGTCAGACACAACTGAGTGACTAACACAACAACAACATTCTTTTATAGTTTCCAGCATTAAGTCAAATTGATTATCTTAGCAACCCACAAAACAGCAACACAGACCATCTCAAGTGGTGCTATTAAGAGGTAATTTCTTTTGCAAACTTTCCAAATATTCCACAATAGCAATGGACAACTTTTTAACTGACAAGGTTTTTTAAAGCTTGACTCTGGACCTTGCATTTGCATGGCTATAAAACTATACTGATTAACTACAATAAAATGAACTAAAACAATACAGGAAGCAAAGATGTCAAAGGTTAAGGGAAAAAAAAAAAACCTTACGGGGGGAGGGATAAATTAGGAGTTTGGGATTAGCAGATAAAAACTATTTATAAAATATTATATATATATACACCATATAGCACAGGGAACTATATTCAGTATCTTGTAATAACTTATAATGAAACAGAGTATGATAAAGAAATATATATGTATAACTTAACACTTTGCTGTACACCAGAATCTTACACAACATTGTAAATCATCTATACTTCAATAAAAAAAAGTTTCAGAATAAAAAAAGCAACCCTCATATTGTGGAATAATATTACCAATTCTCATTTCTATTTACTGTAAATGTCATTCTAAATTAACAATAAAACAACCCTCATTATTGTGGAGTAATATTAACAATTCTCATTTCTATTTACTGTAAATGTTATTCTAAATTAACAATAAAAAAATAAATTAACAATAATAAGAAACACTTGAATTTACAAATAGATCTGCCCTGAAGATTTGTTTTCTACTGTTAGACATAACTTGGTGAAAAGTTGTTTTGACCTAAGTTTATAATGAAATATGAAGGAATAGAGTGAATTTACTCCAAATTTGAAACCTCAGATTCAAACCATATCTTACTTGAAATTGTCAGAAGTCTATTAAAGATTTTGAAAACCCACAAGAAACAAACATGTTTTAAAACATGGAATTACATGCTTTTTAAATTGGTTTTCTGCAGCGTGGGTAAATGAATGACACTGATGCTTAGGGGAGAAAAGTAAAAAGAAAAAAAAATTAACCAGTAGCTTTTTATCACCATTCTTTAATAGCTGACATATTAATATGTTTCTGATGAACAAATTAAAGGTATTGTAAATAGCAATCTGAATAGTCAACAGTAACTTTCTTATAGTCTTATCAACTGAAATAATAGAACTTTAAACATGACTTAGCTTTCACCTTATCACATTAAACCATAATCTTCTGTTACCCATTCATTTCTTGAGTGCCTGCCTCTACGCACCAGGTGTTTGATCTAAGTTTTCAAGTAGCGTTATTATTCAGGCTATGTCACTCTATTTGGTTGTCAACAGTAGTTAGAGCAGGACCTTAAAGAGGTCAAAATTAAATTAATATTTTGATCCAAAATGATTATAAAACATACCAAGGTCATGAAACATAAAACATTACTGAGATAAGTTCAATGCTTAAAATACCTTTTCTTTTTAAGGATAAGCTATAATATATACATGCATTTAGAATTATATACATTGGATTGTGGTTGCTACTCCTGACAAATCCTTTCCCTTCAGATGCACTTACAGATTCATGAGAACACCACTGATATAGGACTTCCTAAAAGTTTTTAAAAACTTAGTTAGGAGATAAGTGACTTGTCACACAGTAACACAGAAAAACAACCGATATACATCATTAATTTTTTCAAGTAATGTTATGTACAGTTTTATTGCCAGTATATGCACAACAGTAAGCATAAAACTATAAATACACAATGTAATTAACAGTAGAAAACAAAATTGTTACAGGTAAGGGGGGGGTGATGTAGAGAAACTATTTTCCTGCTGCTAGAACAAAAACAAAGGAAGGTAAAAGCCTATGACAAATCATCCATTCAGTACTCTTGTCTTAAATTCTTTACATACATTTCTACATTTTTTTTCAATTAAACAAAGAAAGTACAGATAACTCTGTTAACAATAGCAAATTGCTTCCCTAATAGCCATTTGCCTTTCCAGTCAAATTCACTTTATGTTAAGATTAAAAAAAAAAAAAGTCAAGGTAAGAAATCATTAGTATCCTGGTTCCATTAAGATTGAATCTGCCTTTCACCAAAACCAGAAATTTTTGAAAGTTGGCTGCACGTGAAAATAAGAGGTGTAGCAAAAGGTGATTAAAAAATTTGTTAAAAAGTAACAGAAGATCACCCTTTTAGTAGTTTTCCAAAAGATGCTATATAGGCAGCAGCTCAGTTAAAAGTATTAGCCCTGAAGAGGTAGAGAATTTGAGCCCATTACATGAAGATAATAATAGCCTTGGCACCATCTTCTCTCTCATCAGGATCAATGTTTTCAAGTAAGACAATTTCATGGCAAAAGGAAACCAGGTTCCACCATATAAAGAAAAGGTGCTGGTCGACTCCCATGTCGCAAATTTGTTTCATTAAATGAGAAACAGAAGACGGTCAAGGACACACATGCACTTGCTTTCTTTTTGTCTGTTTCCATTATCAAGTTTATTCATAAGTGAATTTGATATTAATAAATAAAAAAAGCATCATTCACAACCAAGATAAACAAACCAAAAAAACCCTGCAATGAAACCTTCTACTTGAATAAGTAACAAGAAAAACACAGGCTGATGATTTGGTGCAGCTTTCTTAAGGGATCAGAGACGGGACATGGTTTTAAATAAACGTGGCAAGGTCAACAACCAACAAACGATACCAGCTTTACAGAACTGGCTGGTTCTGTAACGTTTCTTTGAGGTCTTAGTTTTAAACTACAGATCACCCCAAAGAAGTTGCAACTAATGACATGTATCACCATCACACCAACAGAGTCCAGCTGGAGTTCAAATTAGTCCTATTTTGTTTCACATCATTTCAATATTTCTAGCATAGGACATGATACGGAACAAAACTCAAAAGTAGCAATAAAAATATTATTCTGCATTTGAATAAAGGCCAAAAAAAATGTTTTAGACTGTTAAACTTTAAAGCTTTAAGCATTCCTGTTTAACCAGCATTTAAAAAAAAAAATTTATACAGTCGTTAACACTGGCAAAGGTTAATGGGAAGAGAAAGAAGTACAAACATGTGAAATGATGAATTAGATTAAAAATTACTTTGTATTGATCAACTGATGTTAATACTGCTTCTTCTTGAATTTGGAATAACTATTGTAAAAGTTACATGCAGACTGAGGATAGTCCTCTGTTAGGGAAAATACAAAACAAAACAAAAAAACTAAAACTGGGAAACAATGGTAAGTTTCAAAAGCTGTATTTGAAAATTTCCTTTCATTGATGAGGGTGGTCTGTCTGTCCTTTCTTTGAGAGACCTGGTTCACTTCTGTCAGCTTCACTAACTTTGTCCAGAAACATCAGTAGTGGGGTCAACTCCTCCAGAACCTGTCTGTGCACGTTTGATGTAAAGATTCAGTAGCTTCATCTGCAGATTCAAGCCAAACACATGTCATTTCGGCAAGATGCTTGCTCATTAAAAAAAATTATACACATATGCGAGCTTTAAAAGGTATTTTAGACTGAGGGGTTATTATAATGCACCAGCTATTGTTGATAATTAAGAACTGAAAAAAAAAATTAAGTCTTACTTTTGTTCATGACTGAGTATTCTAGCATGCCTTTTCAAAAACAGAGTAATTAACATATAAAACTTAAAGAAGTCACCATTAGGACAAAAACGGTAAACATTTGGGCATTATGTGCTATACAATATGCTGCCTTACATTGTATCTTTTTATCTTCACAACATTTTAGAGATGAGGAAATCAAGATTCAGGATGTACCATCCCTGCCTAAGGTCAAAAGGGTAGAGAGAAGTGGGCCAGGAGATGAAATTAGGCTCTTGGGTTCCAGAACCCAAGATCAAGACAACTATGTCACTATTCTCCTAACAGGAATATTTTTTATTTCTCTGTCATTTTGCAGTCTGTACTGTATGAGATCATATTATTATAGTTTGCAATCAAAGCACATCCAATTCTGTTTTCTATTTTTTTTTTAAACCTAATGTTATTCTCAAATATTTTTCCCACCTTCTTATTGCCTTCACATGCAACATTACTACGGGCTGCCTAGAATGCTGATAAAGTGATGAATTTTAATTCTTCTACAGATAACTCTGGATTATCAGGACCTAACTTGTCACAAAACTCAGAAAACTTTTCCCTCTGAAAACCACACAGTTGTTCAAAATTTGCTTTTCTTAACATTTACTCTTTGACCCAATGGTTTAACCCAGCATCCATGGCATTCAGCGGCTCACTGAACCTTCTGAAACTAGGTGTAAAATTTTCTGTATGAGTTTATTTTTCTTGAGATGAGATTACACCCGAAGCTCATAGTGGTCTGTAATACAGAAAAGGTTAGGAATCACTGCTTTAATCTATCTATAACTTGTATAGGTTTTAATGTAAGGTATATATTTGAGTTCTTTTTCCTTTATATGTATTTCTTATTCCCTTTTGCTACTTAAAAAATAATTTTGATTATAGTAATGACAATTGTTAGGACTTGTGGAAACTCTTTAAATGAAGGTGAGTGTCCCGCTAACTGGTTCATAAACCATAATTCAACAATCATAGTTTATCCTCACCCTTCAGAACAGATTTAAGGTTTTGATGATACCAAAGAAATGAAGAAAACAAAACTAATGTTTTTTACATCTTAAGGACTAATTGTAAAATTTATTTTAACATATCAAATAAAAATTAAACATTTATGGTGATCATAATAACAGCAGAAAGAGAATGAGAACAAATATTTGATTATCATAATTCACAGGGGAGAATTTTCTAAATGTTCTCGTGTTCCATAATTTGGTACATGTAAGTCCATGAATATATAACCACAATTTATTCTTTTTTTTTTTTCTTTTTTTCAGCTGTACTATGTGGCATGTAGGATCTTAGTCCCCCAACGAGGGATAGAACCTGTGTCCCCCTACAATGGAAACACAGAACCTTAACCACAGGACAACCAGGGAATTTCCAACTACTATTTATCCTTTTATCTCTTTTCTGTTTATTTTTAAACAGCCACAGGGGTAAGAACTGAGTGTGAGAGTGGGAAGAGTGAGTTGGTGATCAGGAACAACCGGAAGCAGTAGGCATTTTTTCACAGCAATCTACCAACCATCCTACCAAACCGCTGACTTCACTCGAGTGACAGAACTGAAAGTACAGATAGCTAAACTGCAAACGGTAAGAGGAATTAGGTTGGACGCTTAAAGCCTAATTAAAAGTCAAGTAACAAATTACCCTTCAATACACACAAAGAAGTCTATTTTGAAGAACGACCCATGGCCACCATCTTTGGGAGAGAGCAGCCCTACTTACTTTACTGCCAGTGAGCTGACTGAGATGTGGTTTTAGTTCATCACCAATTACTGCATGAACAGCCACCAGGCAGAAGACACAAGCTTTCCGAACACTGCTCTCCGAATTATCATAGCCCTGGGAAGAAATCCTTGTTAGTACTCCTGCAGGATCTGAGAAAAGCACCATTGCACAGAAACAGAAGTGCAACTCAGAGAGGAGATGTCAAGTGTGCTGACGAGAGAGCGTTTTACTGACTGGGTAAAGTTAATATCTCACCTTTTCAGGCAGAGACGTCTCTTTCCGTCTTCCCTTTCCCCTCGAGCACCCCCATTCCACTGTCAGCCTGTTTTATCAGGGTCTTTCTTATTCAGCCTGGTAAGCTACAATCTCTGGCTGCAAAAGTCTCTGAATTAACCTTTCTAAAGCCTTCAGCTTTTGGGTATTTAGCAGCTTCTCACAAATGAATAAAACCAAACCTCCTTGGCCTGGCAGTCAGGGTGCTCCTCTAATCCAGGCTGAATTAGATTAACATCTGGACCATCCCTACCATTACTCTAAGTTATTTATCCAACAAACATTTATTCATGTCCACTACTATATGTGTGACACATACCTATTATGTATATTCTGTTCTTAGCACCAAAGCACAGATAAAGAAAGAAGACATTTGGATCTTATCTTCAAAGACCTCACAACTTAGTAGCTGCAGCTTAGAACAGTCACAAAGCTAATACTATAGATGCACAAAGAAATGAATGATGGCATCTTACACACACACTATTTAATATTAGTCATTAAAATTATACTATAGCATATTATTTATTAGATTGGAATAGGAAAAGGTTTCATTCTATAGAAAAGGTTCATAGTCTTTGATTAACTTAAGCAAAGCATGTCACAAAATAAGATCCCATTTTTCTTAAAGAGTTTTTCATATGTCTGGGTTTGTATGCATAGACAAAACCACATTACATGCTCAGTTACTACACTAAACAGTAAGTTTTGTGTTATGTGTATGCTACCCCCCGACCCCTACACACACATACACGGCTAGCTATGGGAAGTCTTTTGCTCTGAACACCTAAGAGAGCAGGAAGGTTTCGTCATGACACTGGTGTTGCCTGGCAAGTGCCTAAAATAACTGAATCCCCACTGTATCAACACAGCTTCTTTCTGAACCAAGTTTTACTGCTTACCTGTATTAGGCCTGGCATGATCTCTGGCAAAAGCAGGTTAAGGGTTTCCTTGGACACTCTCTCGATCACTTTTGTTTGCATTTTGATGGCAGCCAGGTTGATGGGGTAGTCTGCAGTCTGGATGATGGGACACAGCACTTTGATGCACTGCTCCGGGCTGATAGAAGTGGCCAACACTGATGCGGCCTCCTCAGCAGATCTCACCACCTAGGACAGAGGGCAATGCTGAGCAGGGAAATGACTCTGTAAAATGTATGCTGCGTCCTGGATGTGCACATTTCATGAAATACATAATACAACATGGGATCTGGAGTTTTCTTTGAAAACATGAAAGTAAATAAATGGATACATGGGGCTTTATTATATCATTCTTCCTTCTTCTGTGTTCTCTCTCTTTCTAAAAAATAATCAGCATGTATTTATTGGGTAACATTTTGCTCAGTGCTGTAATATAGAATGTTTGGGGATACCAAAAAGCATCTGCAATCAGAAGGTTTCTAGATATAAAATTTACATGAATTTTGTGAGTTTGGGGACTATGTCTTTATTCTTCTGTACTTTCTTAATGCTGGCCTGGTTTAACAATGAACGCAGTCTGACCATGATATTGTGGTCAGGTTCTGCAGGGGAGCAGGGGCTCTGTCCACCTTGACTATCCTGTCACTGGAGTCCTTAGCATCAGCCATGCGAGACCCTGCTCACTGTGAGGACCCTCAACTCCAGGATGACTCATGTCCCTTTTATCACATTATTACAAAATAAAATAAAAGTCATTTCATTAATATGTTATCAAGTTAACAATCTAGTTCCCCTACTGTTCATAATGATTTTCTTTCCTTCTATATTGGACTTGGGGAGGTAAGATGCTGGTTTTGCAAGAAAAAGTTATCTGTATTTTTATTGGAATCTGTAATCTCTAAAGATGCTCTTGAAAAGATGTAAAAATTACTGCCCCTGTGGCTATTTTTGGTATTGTCTCACTTACGCTCTCAACCTGAGAGGTTTAGAAAGGAACAGTGGAGAATACACTGGAAATCAGAAGCTGCTGTTGTTTGGTTGCTAAGTGGTGTCTGACTCTTGCGACCCCGTGGACTGTAGCCCACCAGGTTCCTCTGTCCACGGGATTTCCCAGGCAAGAATACTGGAGAGGGTTACCACTTCCTACTCCAGGGGGTCTTCCTGACCCAGGGATTGAACCCATGTTTCCTGCACTGGCAGGCAGGTTCTTTACCAGTGAGCCACCAGGGAAGCGCCTGGAAAGTCAGAAGACCAAGGGCTAATTTTGGCTGTGATAGCTTAAGGATATCAACTTTATCTTTTGTAAAAATTGGTATGCTGCCGGCCTTATTTGGCTTAGAAGGTGGATAACTAAACTACAAATGTTATGTAGTTCTGTTTTTTTTAAGGCTTCAGTAAGATGCTACAGATGTACCACTCAAACACCAGCTGATTTTTTTAAACTGGATTAAAAATCCAGGTAGATTTAAAAGTTATGGCGCATAATACTATAAGATTCAGTCATAGCTTGTGAAAGGTGAATAACCCAGATGGTTCTGATTTCTTCATAGTATCACCAAGATTTTCTTATTGTCATGTATGTGAAATGTGGTGTTTTGCTTGGTTTTAGCTGCATTTCCCTAAAGATGAATGAGGCTGAGAATCTTTTCATGTGCTTGTTGGCAATTTGTATATCTTGTGTTAAGAAGTGTCAACTGATCTTCTGCTCACTTAAAAACCGAGTTATTTATCTTTTGATTGTTGAAGTATAAGAGTTCTTCATATATTATGGTTGTTATCAGACATGATTTGCAAAAACGTTCTCCTATGTTGTGGGTTGTCTTTTTACTTTCTTGAGAGTGTCCTTTGAAGCACAAAGGTTTTTAATTTTGATAAAAGTTCAATTTACACCTTTTCCCTTGTTATCTCTGCTTTTGGCATTATGTCTTAAGAAACTACTGCCTAATCCAAGGTAACAAAGTTTGATGCCTATGCTTTCTTCTGGGAGTTTTATAGTTTTGGTTCTTATGCTGAGCTTTAATCTATTCTGTCTCATTGCTGTTTTCTTTTTTTTTGACTTGTCTTTTGCTTATGTCTCAGAGACACCTAATGCTCTCTCCTAGAATTGCAGTCCCTATTTGAAACTGGCTTTTCTAATTATTTCTAAGATTTTAATAAAAGTCCTTATGATTGTCTCATCAGTGCCACTGGTTATGGTGGGGATATCCTAACAATGAAGTAATGAGACAGGTTTACAGGACTTTTTCAGGAAAGCTGTCCTCAGTGTTTTATTGAATAAACGCTTAACAGATACCCAGCTATTAAAGGCAATTTACCACTTTAAAATAACAATGATTCTTATTTCCATTAGTTACTAAAAAAAACAAATCCTATCGGTAAATGGAAAGTGAAGTTAAGACTGGGAAACTCTAAGTGGAAATCTAAAACTGAATGAAAGGAGAAAATGAAATCAGATAAATTATATCCTGGAGTTAGCCTATTTTGGATAAAATGCCATGATATCAACATAACTAATTTAATAGAAGAGAACGTATTTTTGCCTTTCAATCAGATACTACCTTGAACATGAGGTGGTCATTAAGAAAACGCTTGCCAAGGGCACTTTACAAACACATTTATATGTTTCATACAATAATATCAAAAGTACTGAGAACAAAATAAGAATTTGTTAGATAACTCACCTCCTTATGAGGGTCTTTATGTGCTTCCAGTGTTTTCATGACAGTCAATTCTGCATAGTTTTTAAATCTTGCTGGTTGATGCCTTAGGATTTCTCTTAAAACTTTCAATGCCAAAGCCCTGATTGTAGGCTAAAAAGAAACATTTTAATGTTGTAATGCAAGAAAAGTCATGACCAACCTAGACAGCATATTAAAAAGCAGAGACATTACTTTCCCAGCAAAGGTCTGTCTAGTCAAAGCTATGGTTTTTTCAGTAGTCATGGATGGATGTGAGAGTTGGACTATGAAGAAAGCTGAGCAACGAGAATTGATACTTTTGAACTGTGGTGTCGGAGAAGACTCTTGAGAGTCCCTTGGACTGCAAGGAGATCTAACCAGTCCATCTTAAAGGAAATCAGTCCTGAATATTCATTGGAAGGACTGATGCTGAAGCTTAAACTCCAATATTTTGGCCACATGATCGAAGAGCTGATTCACTGGAAAAGACCCTGATGCTGGGGAAGACTGAAGGTGGGAGAAGAAGGGGACGACAGAGGATGAGATGGTTGGATGGCATCAGACTCAAAGGACATGAGTTTGAGTGGACTCTGGCAGTTGGTGATGGATAGGGAGGCCTGGCGTGCTGCAGTCCATGGGGTTGCAAAGAGTCACACGTGACTCAGCGACTGAACTGAATGCAAGGGTCTTAATAAAGGTTGAGGGAACTGTAGAGAACTGCATAAAATATGTGGTATATTACATAATCAAGCTTTCACATCTCCAGCTGAAAACTTACACTTCTCAAAGAAATAAAGAACTGCTAGTTCTATTAAAAAAATTTTTACTTCTGAACAACTGATTCAGATATGCAAAAAAAGTTGCACATTTGAATAAAAATTTATGTCAGCAATGTTTTATTTTTCCTGCGGTCAATTGCTCAAAATCATTGATCTACTTGGTTGAGAAGAAAAAGTATTTTATGGTGAAAACTTCATGCAGACTGAAGCAGCAGCAAAGACTCATTTCCCCAATTGCCAAATATGTGTAGTGTTTGATTAACAGGCAATGACAGGCAACCCAAGACACAAAAATAGGCTATTGTTACATGCTCTGCTACTTACCTCTTTATCCCCAAGGGTTTCAAGCAATAAAAGTAATATTGTTTTGAAGTGTTCATCCCAAACACTGAAAGATTCTTCCTGTGTCAGTTTCATGAGTTCATACAGGGCGATTTTTCTTTCTTCTACACGTTCATTATGGTTAGACAACTCCTTCAACAACTCTGCAACCAGGTCAGAATGGTCTAGGGAAAGATCTGTCATAAGGACATGATGTTAATTCTTTGACTTTAGAGGGCAACTTTCACAAGGATAGGGATGATAACTTTATAACATCATGCGACACAGGCCAGAAAGTTAGTTATAAAAACAGCAAAGAAAAATGACCAAGATTCTTTTCCATTTGTCATCCCCAAAACCTCAACACTAGCTTAAAACTATTTATGATAAAAATCCATGAGAGAGAGAACTGTATAATGAACCCCCATGTATAATGAAACCTCAACTGTATAACGAACCCCCATCACCAGACTTAAAAATTAAGATTTTACCATTCTCACATCATCTTTGCCCCCACCCCCACCTAGTTTTCTCAAATATTTCTAGCAAATCCCAAACTTGTCATTTCATCCTTACTCACTTCAGCATGCATGTCTATGTTGTCATGCCAAGGGGCTCACAGGGTTTGGGCACTCCATTTTTAGCGATACCAATAGTGATCCCTGGATTTAACTAGTAAACAACTTGATCCCACCACTGGGAAGTTCCCTGTCAATCTTTGAACTAAAGATTTCACTCACTGATGGGGCTAAATTACTTTATTAGGAGTTAAAAATGTGTTGGAATTTTTCTGAGAGTGAGTTTGTCAACTAGTGCTATTTTGATTACCCTGAAAAGGAGTTTAATATTTCCCCTTAAATTTCAGAGTCAAGAGTTTGGGCCCAGTGGTTATCAGAGAGTATTCATTTGCTTCTGTTTTTTAAAAGTGTAATTATGAACTCATTAATTTTATGAAGGTTAAAGGGCACGCTGCTGATTTTTCAACAGTCATCAGATAATGCTTTGAGTCATCTTTGTAGGAAAGATGCTTCAATCCAAAAATTCACTTTAGAACATTACAAAACACTAGAGTTCTTCCTAAATTCTTTTGATGATAAAATACATGTTAAATTCAGGTTTTAAGGGACTCAGACAGGCATTTGCATGAGCAGAGCTTGTGCCACAGACTCCTTTTTCCTTCTAACCTCATCTCTGGAATAAAATAACCACAGACCATGGTGCCTGAGCCTAGAAGGTCCACCTGGGGTCACTGCCTCTCCAGGAAAGATGGCTGTCAGTGTGAAGCTGTATGCTCTGTGGCTCTGCTCAGCACGAGCATCCTGGTCTTCTGGAGAGGGTCATAGCCAACAAAAGGAAAGGTTTAAGAGGAGACTGCACGTTTCCCAAAAGTGAACCTGGAGGTTGTAGTTTGTCAGATGGCTCACTACTGGTCCATAAAAATACACACTACTGTGCACATCCTGCTGGCTGAATAGCCACGAACCTAGAGATACCAACGACCTGACATTACAGATCTCAGGGAATCAACAACTACAGAAAGAAAAGCTGTATTTCACTTAAGAGGATTCAGAAATCTGAAGAAAGAAAACCAAGCTGAACTACCAGAACAGATGAATTTTTTCCCCCTTTTGGCTCTACCCCATGGCATGGAAACCTTAGTGCTCCACCAGGCGTTGAACCCATGGCCCCACCCAGCATTGGAAGCGCCGAGTCTTGACCACTGAACCTCCACAGAAGTTCCCAGATGACTTCTATTGGAATAAAACTAACAATGATAGGGAAGAGAAACTGAACCAAATAAAATGACAACACTTACTGACTATAAAAAAAGAAATGTGTTAGGACAACTTTTGTGGAACTATAATAAGAACACTAAGAACCTCTGATCTCTAAACACTCATATATGACAGCACAAAATGTGACTAATGAAATTATAACTTGAAGTAATCTGGAAAGAATGAGTACTGAGGAGAACCAAATTAGGATTTTGGAAAATTAGGAAGAATTTTTAAGAAATGCAGAGCAAAATCATAATAAGAAATTTCAGTTCAAAGATCTTAATTTGGAAAATAAAAATAAACTTATAATAAATTCATCTGTTATAGACCAAGAACAGAACAATGTTGCTGGTTTAACAAGAACTACCGCAGCAGGATAAATACACCTCTACAAACTCAAGAATCACTCCTGAGAAGTTACACTATCAGACTTTCAAAGATGTCAGAAAATCATTCTTATTAAGAGTGTATTTTATTTCAGCTGAATAAAGGGAAATCTCAAGAAAATGCTTTGTTTCAAAGGAACTTAGTTCTCTTCTTCATGAATATAGGCTTTGTAATTACTCTAGAAGATAATTAGAAATGACTTGTCATATATAATGATCTGGACAGATGACTGACAGGAAAATAATTTCTGCCAAAGCAAGCACAAATTATTTGTTGATAAAGTATAGCCAACTGTGTTTCCTCTTCTAACACAGAGAGGCATTGTGGCTCTGTGAAAAGAACAGAGGCTCAGGGATCTCACCAAGCCTCTCTCTCTCAGCCTTTGTGGGACAGGAGCACACTCTTAATTACTGTGGAGGCTGGGTTTCCTTGATCAGTAGAACAGGAAAACGGCACCCACCTCCTAGGGTCAGAATGAGAATCTGGGTTTAAAACATGAGTTTCTCTTGAATAACAGTATTATCCTCATCAGAGATAGTATATATTCTGGAATATTACAGTCCCTGGTGAATTTTACAAAGGTCATAATTAGAAGTGGCTATGAGTGGGTTTGACTTGTTATTTTGATAAATCTATCACTAATGTATGTATCTGTCTGTGACATGTACAGAAACATCTGAGTAAGAGAGATACTTAATAAGAGTATCTCAGAGTTTTAAAACAAATTTTCTTTTGTAGAAACTCCCACTTGAAGAAAACAGTAATCTCCTAACAAAGGTCTGTCTAGTCAAGGCTATGGTTTTTCCAGTGGTCATGTTTGGATGTGAGAGTTGGACTATAAAGAAAGCTGAGTGCAGAAGAATTGATGCTTTTGAACTGTGGTTGAAGAAGACTGTTGAGAGTCCCTTGGGCTGCAAGGAGATCCATCCCATCCATCCTAAAGGAGATCAGTCCTGGGTGTTCTTTGGAAAGACTGATGTTGAAGCTGAAACTCCAATACTTTGGCCACCTGATGCAAAGAGCTGACTCATTTGAAAAGACCCTGATGCTGGGAAAGATTGAGGGCAGGAGGAGAAGGGGACGACAGAGGGTGAGATGGTTGGATGGCATCACCGACTCAATGGACATGGGTTTGGGTGGACTCTTGGAGTTGGTGATGGACAGGGAGGCCTGGCGTGCTGCAGTTCATGGGGTCGCAAAGAGTCACACAACTGAGCGACCGAACTGAACTGAACAAAAGTTTTAGATTGTAAAAACAAAAAGAAGAGGAGAAATTTTACTTGGGGCCAGGGTATAAAGGAAAAATCAAAACAGCAAAATTGAGGTCAATATATTAAACAGGATAATGTTAGCAACATTCACAATAATGTCAAAGTCTTCACCTTAGATTTTAAAAAGAAAACAGACAATAAGTGAAAATAATTGCTGCACAAAGCCTGGAGAAACTATTTTGGTTTAGTAGGAGGCTTATCCATCTTTGAAGAGTGTTTACTCAACATAAAAGGTCTGGCTTATGTTTCAGAAGTCAATCAAGTATTATGCTGTGAAGAAATAATGTTCTCAAGTTCAGAACTATTCAACCCAGTTTAGGTTTCAGCTAATTTCCAGAGATATTTTCCTTTAACAAATAGGAAATAGATGATCTTTAGTAAAGGAGAAGAAAATTAGAGTAGGGGTTACCTTGCTACATTGTCACAGTTTTGGCTTTGTGATGTGATATTTGTGATATATCCAGTCTCTTTTAACACGAGAAGTTGGTAAAAACACAATTCCTCAATCTCATAAAATGAAGATATTTTTTCATTCATCAAAATTACAGGCCTGGGGACACATTCATGGGCAGAGTAAGCAGGGTCTCCACGTGAGGATGGGAAAGGTATGGTTTCAGAGTTAAGCCAGAATAAGAAGCGAGTCCCCGTGTAGTGGCAACCAGGTGTGATCTGTCAAGAGCCCAAGCAGAAGGGCACTGGGTATCAGTGTCCACGTGGAAGGGGGAGCCCAGCGGGGTGAGGCATGCATGTGTGCAAGTGAGGAGGTGGTGATAGGGATGGAGAACTGGTTGCACACAGGAGCGGGGATCAAATAAGCAAATATAGTAAAGATAATGGACGTCAGGTTTCTCATAGGGGTTATCAATATGTAAAGAGAGAAACTAAAATTAATCTCATGGTGCTAGACTGGAATTGGAGTTTTTGGTACAAACACACAGCTTTTGACAGATACAGAAATAGATATATATCAATGCATACATACTCCTTAGCTCTAGTCACTTAGAGGAACTATACCAAGTGTCCAAACTTTAGTCTTAAAAGATCATTTCCTATTAAAAGAAACCAAGGACTGATCCTTGGAGAAATGGTTGGTTACAGGACTGAAGCAAGGACAGTGTAAGATTATGCTGTGTCAGAACGTAAGTATGGGGACCTGTTAAAAGGACACAAAGCCAGCTTAAATGGGATCCTGGTGGTCAAATCAAGGACCACTTGAGCATCAAAACAAGTGATGATAATTAAACATTATAACCCACTGAATACAATAGGAAATTATGTGTCTATACATAAATTATATGTCTATACTTATAGTTATGAGAAGGTCATGCTGCATTTAGTCTTCACGTCTCCTTCAGTGTTCAGTCTTTTCTTGGCGTTCATGACCATGGCACTTTTAAACATTAAAGGCCAGTTGTTCTGTAGCATTTCCCTCAATTTAGGTTTGTTCGATGTTTTCTTACGGTCAGATTTAGATTGCATGCTCTTGGCATCAGTATCACAGAGGGGACACTGCACCTGCTGACTGACGCGCGATCTCACTTTGCCCCAGGGGTGGTGATACAGCTTTGATCACTTGATTATGGCGCTGCTCCTAGGCTTCTCCACTGTGGAGTTACCCATTTTGGAATTAGTAGGTTTTTTTTGGAAAGATACTTTAAAACTGTAAATATCCTGTTTCTGATTTGTTGCTGTTCATTCGTTCAGTGTGGTCCAACTTTTTGCAACTCCATGGACTGCAGCACTCCAGGCTTCCCTGTCCTTCACCATCGCCAAGAGTTTGCTCAGACTCATGTCCACTAAGTCCATGTTGCCACCCAACCATCTCATCCCCTGCTATTCCCTTCTCCTCCTGTCTTCAATCTTTTCCAGCATCAGGATCTTTTCCAGTGAATTGGCTCTTCACATAAGGTGGCCAAAGAGCTTCAGCATCAGTCCTTCCAATGAATATTCAGGGTTGATTTTCTTTAGGGTTGACAGGGTTTGATCCTTCTCAAGAAGAAGGAACTGTATTCACAACTTTTAAGCTTTTGCCTGTTTTGAAATAGTACTTAAAAAACAAACAAAAAAAAACCCTACACACAGACACACACACAGATGGCAGACGAAGCAAGTCATGTCAGTTGTGACCACTGTGCATAAATAATATAAAAACAATTAAAGTTCTTAAAGCTAGGTCTTAATCACCAGATCACCAGGCTGCTGGCATGACTCACGGACCCAAGGACACTTTGCTGCTTCGTCCAGTTTACTCACACACTCCTGTTATGCTGCTGTTGTGAGTAACCCTCAAGAGCACAGTCAACTACGAGCATAGACTGAAGTGCATAATGGTCACAACTTTATAGATTCTTATGTAATTTAGAGCATTTGGCATATTGTCATAATTCTGCCTTTGTGAAATTTGTGATATATTAAGTCACTCAATATGACATGTTAGTAAAAACATGATTCATCGACTGCATTAGTGAAGAAATACAGAAGTGAAGAGATTTTTCTACTCTTCAAAATCACAAAAATTAAAAAAAAAATTGAGAGCTAATTTTTCAGTCTTCCTAACAATTAAACAAATGCTTATTAGGATATCTATTTTATACCTATTACAATGATAAAACATAAAAACACTTAAACATTCTGGGTAGCTGAGGAAATCAGTGCTACTTAAATTTGCCATGTGTTTTGAGTTGGTAACTGGTAGTAACTCTGAAAACTTAAGACTTACATATCCTTTAATTGAGCAATTCTATCTCTAGAACTCTCTTAAAATTATCTATATATGTGCACAAAAGTTTATGCAAAAATAAGTTCACTGACAGCAACACTGAGGGAATAAAGGAATACCAGAAACTATTAATACCTAATTATGAAATCATGAGGCAGTGTTGAGGGGGAGACTTTCAAGTTTATCTACATATAAGTTACATATTACTAAAGATTACTTAAGCCTTTAGTTCAAAAAAGAAGTAATGAATCACGTAATTTACAGAGGAAATATGCAATTCCTTATTATTAAAAACAAAGAAAATACTATTTGCACTGTTTTACACTTTATAATCAGTTTCTATATACCTTATCCAAACCTCACAGCATACTATGATCAGAAGGGCAGGTAAGAGGGCATCTCCACCCATGACAGGTGAAGTTCAGGAAGGTCAACCAACCTCCCAGGTGATGCAGCTTATTTAGTAAGTGTTAAGAGCTTAGGCCCAGACTTCCCTGGTGGCTCAGATGGTAAAGAATCTGCCTGCAACGCAGGAGACCTGGGTTCAGTCCCTGGGTTGGGAAGATCCCCTGGAGAAGGAAATGGCAACCCACTCCAGTATTCTTGCCTGGAGAATTCCATGGACAGAGGAGCCTGGTGGGCTACAGTCCACAGGGTTGCAAAGAGTCAGACAAGACTGAGCGACTAACATACACACACACACACAGAGCTTAGACCTAAGCCAACTCCAAATCTTAATTGTACCTCTTCCCATATTCAGTCCTTGAATTAAAGAGTTTGTAACTTCACACTAAAGAATGGGTATCCCTTTAACGGGTTTTGTCACTCTGTATAAAAATTAATAACTAAATGAAAATGTAACTGGTTTCAGTTGTTCCTGGGAAAACTAAAGTTTTCTTGATTTCAAGGATGATCTTAGGATGATTAATCTGTCTTTTATTCTGGAGAAGAAAACTACTAAACCAACAGAAATGAGCTCCTAGAAGATGGCAGAGAACATTCTTACTCTCAAAGATCCTTACTTTTTAGAGAATTGCACAAAAAGAACATGTATCTTCTTTTGCATCACTGATTACCAGTCCTCTGAACACAGACAGGACATACCATCAGGAAACTGGTCAGCATCGTCATCAAACATGGCCTCCTTGAGGGCAGACTTGTTGAAGGGACTGATGCTATCTGAATAGTTATATGGATTATAGTCTCGGGAGCGTGGAGAGGAGTGAGCAGGCATCGAATGGAGCAGTGAAGCCTTATTATCAAGGGCTGTTTGGCTTGAGTCAGTAGCATCACCTCCTGCTCTTGGGTCAGACATCCCAGGACCACCACACATCTATTAATGGGAAGAAGAAGGCACAGCAAATTAAATCATTTCAAATATCTGTTTGAAAGTCTAAAGAGGTACTTCCCTACTGCTTGAAAGTCTATTTTGAAAAGATAACAAAAACCAGCTGAAAAAAATTAAGTAATGAAATCCACATGATGATGAGCTAAAACTTGCGTTCACAAAGTCAAAGTTTGCTAGAAAAGACGTAAAGAAACCAGCACTGTAAAGGTGAATGAGAATCATGAAAGAATGCTGTCTCCAATGATTCCTACAGTTTCCTTATCAAGGACAGAATCAAATATATACAATGTGATTAGCAATGCCAGTAAAAGATACAAAACAACTTTCATTAGAAACACAGAACTAAAAGCTCCCAGATTTCATTATTAAGGTTGTAAATTCTATAATGACAGTATATTAATAAAGTATAAGAAAACAATTTTAAAAGGCCTACTTAAGGAAAAAAAGGCCACAGAGGACAGAATAACTTTTGGAAGGCTGTATGATGGAGTTTGGGCACATTAACATAACCTGTCAAAATACCAGTTACCACCATCAATATCACTATTACCACCATCTACTGAGCAACCACGTGCTATGCCAGTAGCAAGGTGTTTTACAAATATTCTTTAAATATTTACTGTACATGGAATATTGTATGTATTCCATGCCAGGCATCATTACTGGCATTGAGAATATATTAGTTAACAAATGAGAGAATGCTGTCTATGCTCACGAAGCTGACATTGTAGTTGAGGGACAGAGACCATTAGGAAAACGTAATGAGTGAGTTATGTATGTGGTACAGTAGGAGGTGAAGCTCACATGGCAGGCAAGTGCAGTATTAAAGGGATCTGAGTGCCAAAGCTGCAGATGAGCCAGTGTGGCTGGAGCAAGATTCACTGGGAAGCCACTGCAGCAAAGATCTGGAGGAAATGAGGAAACTGGCCATGGATATCTGGAGTAAGAATGTTTAGGGAAGAGGGGGCAGCCAAGACAAAGGCACTAAGGCAAAAAGCATGCTCTGTACGTTCAAGGAACAGCAAGGAGGCATGTGGCTAGAGCAGAAGAGAGCAGTAGGGGATGAGGCTGGAGAGGTAACAAGGGAAAAAATTCTACTGTGTAGACTGCGGCTTGTATTTGAAGAGAGACTAAACAGATCTCCTGATGGACTGAGTAGGGATGATGAGAAACGGAGACAAGATGAGGACAACTGTTCTGTCCAAGGTTTTTGGCTAAGCAACTAGCACTGTATCAACTGAGAGAGAAAAGTCTGGGGGAAAGATCTGGAGTTCAAACAGGAAGCTAGATGTATGAAATCTGGAACTCAGAAGAGAGGTCTGGGTTGGATGGAATCACATGATTTATTATATGCATAATAATTTTTAAGGTATGCAGTAACATCCCTATTTTCCTTAGGCAGACATGAGGTTTACAAATGATAATCTGACTAGTGAGTACATGGCACACTTACTCAGTCCTGCCAAAATCCACTACTTGACACTGCCCCTGCTACTCTAGGAAGGAAGTCTCAATCATGCAGTGATGCTTCCTAACCTCTTAATGCTATCACACTCAACTTGTGAGGCAGGGAACCTCAAATACCAGTAGTAAGCAGGGGTTTGGCATTCCGTTTACTAGGCCCATCTGCTATGTAGGCATGGGGAGAAAAACAATAGCAGGAAAGACGTCAGGAGGCAGAGGAGGGAGCCCTTTAGAGATCTGCTAAAGTACTGCAGTGTTCTACAATTGCGCAAACACTGAGAAACCACAGATTCCACAGGAAACGGTGGGATAGCTTGTTCTTAGAAAAGTCTAAGATGTCAGAGAAAAGTCAAAGAAAAAGTAAGAGTAAAAAAATCAACAGCTCTTTATATAGTGGCAGAAATAACAAACTGAACAATAATATTCACAAATGTTAGAAAGATGGGTCATAACATTCTTAACTGGAACCACATAAACTGAAGAAAATATCACCACGCTGAACAGGAATTTTAAAGAGCCTGAACACTTTATTTTGTCCTACAAGAGCCATGGGATCTGGCCCATGTTCTAGGTCTCCGCTCTTTCATAATGCACATGCTTTCATAACTGCACTGACTTTGGTCCTGGTTCTCAGTGGGACAAAGCCTGCTCCCATCTAACTGTCTCTGTGCCTGCTATTTCCTTAATGGAATTCTCCTCTCCTAGACCTCGTATGGCTCGATTAGGGTCTCAATGCAAATGTCATCTTTCCTATAGCATTAATCTCTATCCAAAACTCCACAAGGAACTTGAAGGCAGCATCTGTGCCTTGTAAATCTAAGACTCTGTTAGAACAGAGCCTGGAGTATGGTAGGTACTCAGTAAATACTGAGTAATTGACTCCTGGAAGTTTACATCTGAAAGTGACAGAAAGCAAAGTTTAAAAACAAAATTAAAAACTCTTAATGAAAACATGTGCAATATAAGAATATTCAGATACTCACTGAATCGCCATCATCTTTTTTAGAATCTCTTCTCAATGGTTCATTCATATCTTCTTGACTGCGGAAGCTGAAACTCTGAATTGCTTCAGTGACACCTCTAAGAGAGCTATAAATATCTTCAGAGTTCATATTTTCCGTGTCATAATCAAAAGCACTATGAAACAGACAACAATTAATTTTTGTTTATGTGTAGTTTTAAAATACAGATACATCTGAGGAAATGGAACAGGATATTTATAAAGACAGAGTTAGAGAATGTTTATGTTCTAAAGCATAATTAGCAAAACAAAACCTGACAGCTACAAATGGCTAAAGAGCATGTTCCCCCGTTTGCTCATCAAGGGCAGTTTATAGTGACTCTAGAAGGCACAGCCCTTGACAACTGGTTTTTCTTTTCACCTTAAGAACTTTTTTTACATTTTTAAATAGCTGAGAAAAAAATCAAAACACATCTCACAACACAGGAAAATTATATGAAACTCAAATTGTGTGTGTGTGTGCGCATGCTCAGTTGTGCCCAACTCTTTGCAATCTCAGGGACTGTAGCTCGCCAGGCTCCTCTGTCCATGGAATTTTCCAGGCAAGAATACTGGAGTGGATTGCCATTTCCTCCTCCAGGGGATCTTCCCGAAATTGTTTCGGAACACAGCAAGGCTGATTTATTTAGCTATTGTCTATGGTTATTTCACACTACAGCAGAGCTGAATAGACCTGACAATGACCACCCTGCCTGCAAAGCCTAAAATATTTACCACACGACTCTACAGAGTTTGCCGACCCCTGTGGGTTAAGTCACAATAACGGTAATGCTGGAAGAGGAGAAAAATACATTTTACACAAATATGTAAGATGACTGAGAATTTTTAACATAAAATATAAGTTTTACTGATATGAATTCTTTCTTTTTTTGCCACATCATGAGGCATGCAGGATCTTACTTCCCTGACCCCAGGGATAGAACCAGTGCCCCTTGCAGTGGAAGCACAGAGCCCCAAGCACTTGACTGCCAGGGAAGTCCCACTGAAATATGAATTCTATAATCAGATTCTAAAATTCAACTCAGTCTGGAATTTAGCCATCATAATTATCACATATGCATAGGCATGGAAAAAATATGATGGTAAGTTTAAAATATGTTTTGCAATATAATAAAACATCTTATGTAATTGTAATGAATATGATGAAGAATATGCTATTTGGCTAATAACAAAAATCAAGCTGATAAGGACAATAATGGCTACTAAGCCATTTTTTTAAAGACCAGAAGAAGGGAAAAAAATGTTAATCCATTAATGAGTTAACTTATAACTTCTCTGAAGTATAGCTCATGTAGGGATTGATCAAGTGTGTGAAAATTTCACACATTTCATGAAGGATCAATCTCAAGATCACATTTTTTCCTAAGAAGTATACATATTGCCAATTTTATATTTAACCCTTCCCTATTTGCTTTTATTTTTACATTTTTTTGTCTATAAACTTAATTTTGTTTTCTATTTTTAAGAGGTGGTTGGCCCATATTAGATCTAAATTTTCATTATAACTTGATCTCATCATTTATATCAAGCATTATAACTGAAAGACACAACTGGAAATTAATGGATATACACAGCTTATCTGAGAAACAGTAACTATGTTATTTAATGTTTAATTACTGCTTGCTTTTTCCAAAAGCTGTGTCCAAAGTTTTCCTGTCACTTACAAGAAAAAGAATTCCATATCCTATATATTATGATCATCTAAAGGGTTCATTTTGGAATAAACCTAACATTGTTTTAATTTGCTATGTTCCTATGTGTCTAAAACATTTTAGTTAAGTAGTAATCAACTGGATTTATATTAATGTCAGCTTTTCTAAGAATGGGAATCTGCAAATACAAACCATGATGGAAAACAATCCTTTTATTACCTTGGAGACAAAGTATTCTGTGATGTATTGGTAGGAGAAGTAAGAGGACTGGACCAGTTGGCTGGTGACCGTGGTGCTGGTCTTGTCAAAGGACTTCCCATGGAACCCTGATGGACAAGAGTCAAATAAACATTAACATATGACAGGCTCTTAGGGAAGCCATTTAGTCAAGATGCTGAACACATGAAACAGCCAGATTTATACTAATAGGTCATTATTTTGTGTATTTTAAAAAATACTTTGTCTATGTAGTGAGACATGTGGGATCTTAATTCCCCAACCAGGATCAAACCCACGCCTCTGCACTGGAAGCACAGAATCTTAACCAATGGACCACCAGGGAAGTTCCCAGGTCATTATTTTACTTTTCTCTTTCTTTTTTAAAATTTATTATTAAAATTTATTTAGCTGCAGTGGGCCTTAATTGTGGCATGCAGACTCAGTTCCTCCACGACATGTGGGATCCCAGGTTCCCTGACCAGGGACTGAACCCATGTCCCCTGAATTGCAAGGTGGATTATTACCCACTGGACCACCAAGGAAGTCCCCACTAGGTTGTTATTTTAAAATATTGATGTACTTATCTCTAGTTTCTGTGGGGAAAAACTTTCTTTCTATTCAGCAATCTAGCTCTTTTTGTTGTTGTTGTTGTTGTTGTTCTCCTCACCTACTTCTTTCTCCTAAATATTACCACAACAATCTTTTTTCCTCAATAATTAAACAAGATTCCAAATTAACAATCTTAAATTAGCTTCCTGCCCTAAGCCAATTCCTTCCTCCAATCATTACAATCACTTAAATTTTGTTCCTCCTTCAGTCTGATTTACAAATGATTTTTACAAAGACATCAAAGTAGTAAAATCTGATCGTATTAGCAATTTGCCTATCTCTTAAGATAATAATAAAACAATATCTTCTCCTTTTATTTTTTTAATTTTTAGTTGTTATCCCACATAGCTTGTGGGATCTTAGTTTCCTGACCAGAGAGTCAACCCACGACCCTGGCAGTGGAAGTGCAGAATCCTAACCACTGCACCACCAGGGAATTACCCCTTTCCATTTAAAAAAATAATTGACTTTGGTCCCAAGAAATGGTTCTCACATTGTTTTACGCTTACATTTTATCTTACTCCTGCCATAAGTGCATCTGCTTTCTCCCTTATGCATTATCAAAGGTATTGCCCTCTTTGTCTTTTTAAAACCCAAGTTCAATTCTTTGGCATATTACACAAATAGTTCAATACCATTTAGATATAACACTAACGCTTCATTTACTCAGATCTTACTTCCCCAAAACAAACTCTTGTATTATTCAAGTACCTATAGACTAACAAGCCTGCACTACCCTCCTTGGGCCTGTCATTCCTGGAATAAGTCATCCTTTCTGGTCCTCCAATAAGGACTGGTTCATCTAAAGAGCATGTTCTAATTCTCATAGCTTGCGAGGGTAATGCCCTCATCTAAGTTCTGCTATATTTCACTTTCCTCGTTCATACCGTGGTTACCATTCACCACCACCCTAAGGCACACCAAATAATAACAGAAAAATTATAGGCCTAAGGACTATTTTTTCCAGGACAATATTTAATTCTGCTCAGGAAATGCTGCCTAATGCAGATGCAAAAATTACATACTAGGATCAAAGTTTACTTCATGCAAAAAAGAAAGCAATTACTGTTGTTAACCATCCATCACATTAAACAATGGCAAAAAAAAAAAAAAAAAAACTAAGTGAAAAAAGACCTGGGTTCCATTGCCAGTGTTTCGAAGGTGATTATGAAGAAGTTTGGTAGCACCATCCTGAAAAGTTTTTGGTAAAGCTCCTAATAACATTGTAAACTCTGGGGTATTGAGTTCAAATAAGGAAATCAGGACTGACTGTGCTGCCTAGAAAACAAAGACATACAAGAAGCAGATGAATATATTTTGGTTACTTGAAGGAGACCATTTTCTTCATTCAACATTTCTATTCAATAGTGCCAGACCAGCTTTCCTAGGGAAAAAGACGTTCCTATGCACTTTCAAATTTCTTTGCTGAAACAATAAAAAAATTTTTTGACTTACCTTTTTTGGAAGTAAGAAGGGATTATGAAAAGTATAACAAATATGCCTACCAAGGGCAATGGTCTTGGCATCCTTATTGAAAATCAACTGGCCATAGATACAGGTTTCCTCTGGACTCTCCATTCTATTCCATTGGACTTTACGTCCATCCTTAAGCCAGTACCACACTGCCTTGATTACCACTACTTTGTATGGTCTGGGTTTGTAAGATAAAACTGCCCTCATAGAATGAGTTGGAAAGTGTTCCTACTTCTTATGGTTTTTATTTTATTTTTTTCCTCTTATGGTTTTTAAAGAAGAGTTTGAGAAGAATTGATATTAATGTTTGGTAGAACTCACCAGTTAAACCATCTGAGCTTGGCTTTTCTTTGTGGGTGGTTTTTTTGATTACTAAATTAATCTCTTAACTTGTTCTATTGAATTTTCCAGTTAGTTTCGTTAGTTTGTGTCTATCTAGGGATTTGCCCATTTCATCTAAGTTTACTAATTCCTGGCATACAATATTGAAGCATTTCTTTATAATCATCTTTAGTTCTGTAAGGTCAGTAATAAACTTCTCTCTTTCATTTCTAATTCTAGTAATTTCAGCCTTCTCTTCTTTTTTCTATCAATCAAACTACAAGTTTGTCAATTTTGTTGATCTTTCCAAAAAACACAACTTTTGGTTTCACTAATTTTCTCTATCACTTTTCTACTCTCTATTTTATTAATTTATGCTTAATTTTTTTTGTTTGTTTGGTCTGATTTTTAAAATTGAAGTACAGTTGCTATACAATGTAAGTTTACAGGTGTACACTATAGTGACTCATACATTATAACTCATTTATACTTAATATTTCCCTTGTACAAGATATCATTGTGACTGATTTTATACTTAAATGCTTGTACCTCATCATTCTCCACTCCCATATTAGTCCTCTCCTGCTGGTAACCACTAGATTGTTCTCTATATCTGTGAATAGGGTTCTTTCTTATTATATTCACTAGTTTGTTAAACTTTTTAGATTCCACACATAAGTGATATCATACAGTATTTGTCATTGTCTGACTTATTTCACTGAGCATAAAGGTCAACCATGTTGCTGCAAATGGAGAAACTGCTCATTTTTACAGTTTAGTAGTATTCCATGGTGTGGGTGTATACTTATCACCTCCTCTTTGTCCATTTGTCTGCTGATGGACACATGTTGCTACCATCCATATCTTGGCAACTGTAAACAATGGTGCTATGAACATCACTGGAGTACGTGCATCTTTTCGAATTAATGTTCTTGCTTTTTTGTTTTTTGTTTTTTTAAAGATATATACCCAGGAATGGAATTGCTGGGTCATATGGTAGTTCTATTTTTAGTTCTTTGAAACTAAGGACCTGTTTTCACAGTGACTGCACCAATTTACATTTCCAACACCAGTGTTATGAGGGTTCCCTTTTCTCCACATCCTTGCTAATACTTGTTATCTGTGTTCTTTTTGATGATAGCCATTCTGACCAGTGTGAGGTAATACTTCTTTGTGGTTTTGATTTGTATTCCCTTGATGATTAGTGATTTTCAGCATCTTTTCATGTGCCTGTTGGCCATCTGCATTTTCTCTTTGAAAAATAGTCTATTCAGTTTTTCTGTTTTTCAATTACGCTGTTTTTGGTTTTTTTTTTTAATGCTGAGGTGTGCAAGTTGTTTATATATGCTGGATACTTATCCCTTATCAGTCATTTGCAAATATCTTCTCAAATTAAATAGGCTGTCTTTCTGTTTTGTTTATGGTTTTCTTTGCTCTGCAGAAGATTTTAATTAGGTCCCATTTGTTTATTTTTGCTTTTATTTCCTTTGCTTTGGGAGATGGAACCAAAAAACACTACTGCGATTTATGTCAGAGAGTGTTCTGCCTATGTTTTCCTCTAGGATACTAACAGTATTTGGTCTTACATGTAAGTCTTTAATCCATTTTGAGTTTATTTTTGTATACAGCGTTAGAGGATACTCTAATTTCATTCTTTTACATGTAGCTGTCCAGTTTTCCCAGCACCAGTTATTGAAGAGATTATTTTTTCCTCACTGTATATCGCTGCTTACTTTATCATAGGTTAATTGACCATTTGTGCATGGGCTTACTTCTGGGCTCTCAGAATTCTGTTCCATTGATCTGTGTGTCTATTTTTGTGTCCATACCGTATTGTTTTCATTACTTTGGTTTTGTCAGTACAGCCAGATACAGGATGCAAGAAATGAGTGATTAGGGTTGAAGAGGAACCTCAGGAGGATGGTGATGAGAACAGAGGGTCTAGAAAGGGACACTCCAGAAAAGAAAGAATCAGTGTTTTTGAGCATATGGAAAATCTCAGCCATAAGCATGTGGCAGAGATGTTGAACCTATTAACACTTAAAAAATATGTTTGGGGGGAGAAACAGGACAATGAAAACCAAGGCAAATTAACACTAGGACAAATAAAGTTTCCATAAGGAGGGAGGCAGTAATTAACCACTTGGTGAAGGAATTAATACTTTCACAGTCAAAATTAAATCTTTTCTATTGATTACCAACAACTGATTCATAAGTATTTTGAAGGTTATGGGGAAAGACAGAGGATAGGATACTGGAAACTGAAATCTTCATTTACAAAGGCAGACAGACAGATACACAATGACTGAATCTATCAACAGGTCAGTAAATAATGCCTAAAACGAATACATCAAGAAACAGTATAAACTCTTATTATTATTTTTTTTTTTTAAAGATCTTTGTATCACCAGGTAAATAACTCTATGCTAACTGGTAACATCCTGAAAACATTAGCTTCCTTAACTGGCAATCTAAAATGACTGATTTGTTTTTCTAATTTATCTTCTGAATCTTAAACTAAAACATACCTTCCGAACATCAGAACTTTTGGGTTCTGTTGTCCAAGTGATGACCCGAGACACTGCCAGGCGAGTTTCACTGGAATTTACAAAATCTCCTGGATCCATCTGTTTGGCCAGAGTTTCTATGTATTTGAGGATAGCAACCTTCACCTACATGGGGATGCACAAAGAGAGAGGACAATCAGCTGGGCATCATCAGGCAATAAGAACATTTCAGAAACAGTTAGGTAATAGTTGTTTTTTTTTTTTTACAGATACAAAATGAAAAAGCATCAACAGCAAAAGAAAAGTTATACATAACAACCACCTACCTATCAGAGGTACAAGTATATGATAATGTGGCTTTTTTCCCACACACAGCAGACTTTATAAATTTCATTACCCGTCTGTGAAGAATTGCTGACACTCTCTTGATAAGATTAGACACTTCTCCTTTAGTCTGCCTTCAGAGCTTATAGCTGACTCTTGTCTAGATCTCCCCAGGAACCAGTCTTTATACATCAAAGGATAATTTGCCTCTTGGGGAAATGAACCAAAGAGTTTTGGAAATAAGGTATTACACATCCAGTGGGTAATCAAGTGAATAATCAAAGTGGGCAATACAGATAAATATACATTAAGGCTCCAATGAGACCAGGTTCCTTAATAGGTCCATCAACTGCTAGAACCACCTCTCAAAATAAATGTGACAAAAAAGCTTTACAGAAGGACAACTGGGGAAGAGACAATAGTTATTTGCATAAAAGAAGTATAATATATGAGTTTTAAAAGTCTTACTATTCTCCTAGAAATTCCTGATATGTGGGTGGCATGGTAGGTAGGAGTGTGGTAGGATGCAGGCTTCAAAATCAGCAAGAGGTGGGGCAAAGCATACATGCTTCACTCTTAGATGTAGCCTTCTTTTCCTTAGAGTAAGCCATTATTAAATAATCTCCCCTTTCTTGGTATGGCAGGGTAGAAAAAGTTAGAGAACCACTGTTTTTAAAGTCACGTCTAACATTCTAGATTTCTAAATAATGATTCTCTAAGACTTTATCAGTGTACTTTAGAAATGCCAGCTGGCAGAGTGCACAGTCCTTGGATACAGCAGACTCTAAACACATACTAAATCTGATTTGCAGACTTAGAAAAAGGAAGGTTTAAATGTATGATTAAAATAGCAACTTTGAAAAAATACTGTCAAAGATTAAGGTAATCAGGTATTCTGTACTCCTTCATTCCCAATTATTGATCTTATTATTGATCATTTCTCTCACTCAGTCCAAATAAGGTCTCTGGGAAGTACTATGTCAAGTTAATATATAGAAGTAATAAGTTAAACTTCTTTTTTTTTTTCCCACAGCACTAAGTTAAACTTCTGACTCTTGAATATCTTCCCCTCTCTGCTTCCAGTTTAAAGACAGAAGGCATCAACTTATTGTCTTCGTTTCATAATAAATGATTTTAAGAAGTAACTATAACTTTAAGAAATTTTTTTTTTTTTTTAAGAGTTAACCCATCAGCATCCTGAGTAAATCATATAGTGAAGAGGGAAAGAGATGTATAGCTAATTTTGAGTAGCAGGCCCAACTAAATTATGGCAGCACATAACATTCTGGATTTTTAAGCCACATCATCTTCTATTGGTGAGACCAGCTAAAAGAAAGCTAAAGTAAATCAAAGAATAAACAATGCATTTTGTTTTTTGAATATATTTATTTGTATTATGTGAGATTTAATTAGTACCATGTCCTGGCAATTTATAGAGGCATGTAAAGTTTCTAAAGAGTTTCATAGAATAGGTGTGTTTACTATACAAATAAGCAAAACAACCATAATACATATATAATCATTTGAAAATTTATATTTTGGTAGTATATTTCAAAAGGTTATAATACATAGTTTGTATTTTTAATAACATAAACATGCATTCTTCTTCAGAGAGGAAAAACAATATAGTTGCTAATGTGTGTATAATTCTAAACATATTTCTGAAACTCAGGGAAAAAAAAGTCAAAAAGTTCCACTTATTTAAAAAATATTACTCAAATAAAATCATCCTGTATGTCATCTTTGTCTATTTTAATGCTTCCTTTTTGACATCTGGCGACATGACAGTCTGTGGGAAATATAAAATATTATCTGAAAGATCCAGGACTTTTTAAATAAAGAATTTTGATAAATCTCATACTCATTTGTGTTTTTCTATAATCTGTTAAGTTTTAAATTCTTAATCCTGTCAACCATCTGAAAGCTACTGTTATTTTCAGCATAAGGTACAGCTCCAATAGAATTCCTTTTTGCTATCCTAAGACATCAATTTGTGGGTTGAAGAGTGATTTTCCCCTATAGCTTTATGTGTATGTGTGTGTATAATATATAAAAGCCACACATATGTCCGTATTATAGATTATGATATATACATATATATAATACATTTACATAGATTATTTCTCTAAAAGTCATATATACATACACATACATATTCCCTCATAAATATGAGGTAATATGAGGCAAATATTCTTTACCTCAGTCGGTAAAGAATCTGCCTGCAATGCAGGAGACTGAGGTTTGATCCCTGGATTGGAAAAATCCCCTGGAGAAGGAAATGGCAACCCACTCCAGTATTCTTGTTTGGGAAACCCCATGGACAGAAGAGCCTGGTGGGCTATAGTTCATGGGGTCGCAGAGTTGGACGTGACTTAGCGACTAAACCATCACCACGTACATATGTGTATGTGTATGGATGTATGTATAACTTTCAGAGAAACAGTCTGTGATTCCAGTCTTCAGTATGACATTTCCTAACAGGGAAACTAATTTTATACTTCCCGTTGTCTTTCTCTTCAGGTCTTTAGCAACTCTTATTTTGAAAACTAGTGATTCAGACCTCCATTTCTACTGGCCCATGTAACAACTCTATATATGTTTTCAATAGCATTTGAATACCTACCACCAATACCTAAATCATAATTCTTTCCACAGTTTACAGTTCATCATGTATTATAAATATTAATGACAGAAAATTATAAGGAATACGTAGCGCAATGGCTTGGACAAATAACAAGTTTAAATAATATCTATCAATAATATCAAGTAAATTATTCTCCTTCTGCAGGTCACTTTTAAAAATCAAAACAGATGGAACCTCTTTCACAAAGCAGCTCTGAGAAAATAACATATGTTGAGTACATGTTAACTCTGGTAAGAAATATAATTGTGACTTTAAGGCAAAATCATATTCAGAAACTTAAAAGGAAAATCAGTCCAAGGCAATAATGCTTATAGAAACATTTCGTGCAGAACAGAGCGGAAAATACAAGGTTTGTAAATGTACATATGCTTGTTATTTCCCTGACATTAATCTCATTTAAGAAAACTTAATAAAACCATTTTTAGTAAAGAATTCAGGGATGCATATTATATTTTCTTCTATGCTAAATAATTATTTTTAACAAAAAATTGGTATCTACCTAGTTTCCACATAAATTATTAGAAAACGTGTGCTAATAAAGTTGAGAAAGCTAATCCCAAATCTAAAGCTTATGCACACATCAGAAATAGCACATTGTAAGAAGAAAAAAAAAAGCTACTGTTTCAATTAAGAAGAACTGGAGAACAGCTCTGAGATTAAACTTAAAAAAATTTTTGTTAATTGAAATACATAGGCAAAACTGATATTCTGCCCAGAATACCTATTCAAACTCCTAAACTTTGAAGAAAAAAAAAAAGGACTGGGAAATCACAAACATAAAATGAGAAAAGACTTTATAGAGAGAGTTTGCACAACAGCTTAGGGTTAGACGGCCATACTTGTGTTGCTTTCTAACTATGAGTTCCCAGTAAGCTTCTCCGGAAGATTATCTGGCACCGAATAACACTTGAAATCAAATCCGTGCATGCTTTAGAGGCTTATAATGGTTAGTAATTGAATATATAGATGCATACAAACATTATCAGAAACACTGCAGAGTTTGTAAAGAGAGTTAAGAAAAGAAAGAATGCAGATTAAAACAAAACCAATAAAACCTTGGAGCTCCAAAAAGAGTGAAGCTGGTCCCGAAGTGCTGGCTTGACTGTCTGAAAGTTTATAAAAACAGAATCCACTGATTGAACAGCTTCTCATGTGACAGAAATACAAACATTAACTTTATGAATAAAATACTTGAATTCCTTACAATGTCTTCAAAAGACCTCAAATTTTTACCTTCAAGCTTGGTGTTTGGGTCTGATCAACTGTAAATCTCATTAGAATGTTGAACTGAAGATCATTTGGAAAAGATTCTCTGAAATAAGGAAAGAACAAAGCAAAAAATTAAAAATTAAGTCACCAAGTAAGCTTTTAGCAAACTTAACAGATTATGTTTGATACCAAAACATAATGTCATTTAGAAAGCATGCATGAAGCAGTATCTATATGTGGTATAGTCTATGTGGTAAAGAATACAATAAAAGCTATTCCCAGAAGAACCAGAACGTTTGAATTTATACCCTGAAAGTATAAATTTAACCCCCTGTAGGGGGTTAAAAAGCAACACTAGAGCAAATAATGACCTCTTGTCTCAGTTACAGATTTAATCAGAAAATGTATACAAGGGAAAGTTCAACAGTATCAGAGATGTTTCCATACCTAATATCTGAATTCTAGACTCACCTCAACTTAGTAAATGGATATTTGAAATAAGTCACTTCAACAATCTACACAAGAAAGTAGAAATGTACCATTGATTCAAAATCTTCTGAAAAAAGAATGCATAATAAAACATTCTTTTTAAATTTAGCAAATATTTTTATCTTTATATCAGATTGAATAAAATCCTTAACTTTGCAGTTACATCTTAATTACAATAAATTATTACCTTGAATTACTCAACTGTTGTTAATGAAATTTTTTATAGATTAAATGCAATGTTTGAACTAAGAACCTATGTTGTATCAAATTATACCATGTAAATGACATCAATAACAATTTTCAAATGGAGCTCATGCAGTCTTTATGGTTTGAAAGGACTCAGAAATCTGAACTTTCAATACAAAAACTAAGTATTCTTAATTACTACTGGGTAAACTTGAAATATATGAAGAAAAATCTTACCTTGTAACATCGAGGGCTTTCTGAACTTTTGCTTGAACAGACCCAAGCAAATCAGCACCCATTTTTTTAAGTAGTTGCGTTAGCAGTACAAACAACCAATCCTGAAGATCGTCTTTGTGGACTTGTATGAAATCCACTAGAGTCTCCAAAAACATGCTGAATACCTACAGTGGGTAAATGAGGGAAGGAGAAGAAAAAGGAGGAAATATTGACCTCTATATCAATTCAAAACTGAAATAGAAAGGAATACAGGAATCAGAGGCACAGCGATTGGCAGCCAAGCGGAAAAACAATCTCTCGCTTTTCATTGGACTCTGTGATACAAGAGTACATTTGAACTGTTATCCAACTTCTGCTGAAGTTCGACAATTAGCTATTCCATGCAGCATCACTTGGTAAAGAAACTTTGGCCATAATGGCTGGCACACCTAAGGTTGTCAATGATGCCATAGCTTAAATTGAAACTCGTTTTATCTGAATTTAGGGCAAGAAACTACCTATAGTCTCACCAGCCCCCAGCTCTCTGAAGTGTCAGTGAGTTAATCAGAGGAAGACTATGCTGACAGCTACCTTAATATATAAGATGATTTTTAACATAATGGGCTAATTGGAGACTTCTTAGTTCTCCCAATGTTAGTGGCCACAAAATTCTTTGGTATAAGATGTCTTATTCATTAAAACTGCCCCAACAGTAATTTTAAATAACCTGTGTGCTCAGTTGCTCAGTCGTGTCTGACTCTGCGACCCTGTGGACCGTAGCCCTCCAGGCTCCTCTGTCCATGGGATTCTCTAGGCAAGGATACTGGAGGGCGTTGCCATTTCCTCCTCCAGGGGATCGTCCCAACTCAGGGGCAGAACCCACATCTCTTACGTCTCCTGCATCAGGCAGGTGGGTTCTTTACCACTAGTGCCACCTGGGAAGGCTTAAATGACCTGGGATACCTGTGCCTAAAATAAATAAAATCAGGACACAAATCTACATCTACATTTTAGTGATTTCTACAAAGAACCAGATGGCATGTTATTAGTCTCCATTTCTCCATTTTATACTTGTTTCCAATATTAATCTACTAGTTTTAAACTCCTTATAAGATTCAAGAAAAATTAAAAGGGAGGGAAGCTAAAATTCGTAAGTGATTTATCTCATTAAAAATACGACAAGTGACAAACAGTAAGGTTGTATCTCTTCAATAAATTCAATATCATACTGGACAATTTATTTCAACATAAAGAGGGAAAAGTTCTTAAGACAATGTCAGTCATGTTGTGTTAGGAGACAATTTATAATCCCAATGGATTATAAAATCTATGGCTTAAAAAAGTTAAGTCCAATGTAACTATGCTAATTTAAAATTAAGAGTTTTGCTCTCAATATATATTTTACTTCTTCTACTTCTTTTATGTAGTTATACACGAATTCCTGTTTTTTCGCTGTTAGAAATGAAGGACTTTTTATCTATCAGAATTATAACTAAGCTTTTTAACATCTGAATTTGAGTTAGAAAAAGATGTGCTTGTGTGTATGTGCTCAGTCGTGTCTGATTCTTTGCAACCTCATGGAATAAATATAGCCCAGCCAGGCCTGTATGTCTATGGAATTTTCCAGGTAAGAATACTGGAGCGGGTTGCCATTTCCTACTCAAGTGGATCTTTCTGACCCAGGGATCAAACCTGCATCTCTTGGATCTGCTGCTCTGGCAGGCAGATTCTTTACCACTGTGCCACCTGGGAAGCCCTAAAAAAATACACTTTGCTCAAGATGCTTTTTGTAAAAGCAGAAAGTATGACTACTTAAAATTTCTGTTACTTCTGATCTCAAGGCAGTAAGTACATGTGCCTCAACACTGTTCTTAATCACAATGCAGACTCATTAACTCCAGTCCTACCCTACCAGAACCACTTGGACCATGGCTTTACTGAACTGTCTCTGGCTCCCTCCTCAGGGCCTGAGGAACTTCAACAGACCTACTCAGTGACAAATACATGTATCTAACCTAGTACTCACTCTGACTAGCAAATCTGTCCAGTGACATCCTGGAGTTACCCAGTATCTGCCTAGAAAGTCAAACGTTAAATATTCAGGAATTTTGTGAGATGGTTGGTGGCTTGAAATCAGCTATTTGGGACTATTTACACCTCAGGAATTATAACAAACATGACAAATCAGGGCTTCCTGCTACTCCCTTAAACCTGGCGTACCAGCACAACACTCTCTAATTCTCTGGTTCACTTTCACTCTTACTGTTTCAACTACTGCCTATTTTCCTTAAGATTCCAACTTTAAGCTTTCACTATACCAAAATCCATTTTGAAAATCAAAGGCATTAGAATGCCTAAGTCAACTCTCACATTTTATCTGATTCTCAGAAAATTGAAAACTAGAAAATTAAGGGACTTACTTGCTCAAGGTTTCCACAGCTCATCAATGGCTAAGTCACTTGGCTTTTAATTGTGTTCAATGCACTCTATTACTGGACAACTTCCTCATCTACTCGACTGCCATTCATGATAAAATTCTCCACTGACTTTCCCCTCATTTTGATTTCTTCCATAGCTATCCTTATAATAACTCTTTCTCGAAGGAAGAGCCAATTTTATTTCTAAGACTAGTCTATCTGTATCCGTGCTCTCTAAAGTATGGTCTCCTCTATCTTTACTCTTCTATTCGCAACCTGAATTATTTGTTTACCAATGCAGAAGACACTGTCTCAAGAATTTCGCCTTCAATTTCCAGTCTACTGTGCCCATCCAATCGAGAAATGTCATAGCTTTCTCATGAGCTTAGTACGCCTGGCCATTCCATAGTTTGACACTGTTTTTCCTCTTCTTATCTCCCTTTTTTCATTGTTACCAGGCGTTTTCCTTTTGTATCCTGAATGTGGGGAGATTTCTTAGATCTTCATCCTGATTCTCTTTTCATTGAAATTATGACTTCCTTGACAGAGCCTCTCTGATCTAGCCTTCTAGGCCCCACAATAACCTCTATAATAGCTCTCACTGTTGGCCTTACTCAAACCTGTCGATCACAACATCACTGTAGGCACCAGGCCTTCCTGACCTCAAGTCTGGATTTCTCTAACAGGCCAGAAAGCAGATATTCTAGGCTTTGCAGGCCATGTGATGTGGGTCGCACTCTTCAACTCTGTCATCACAGCATAGCCACAGACACTATGCAGACAAGTGAACACAGTCTGTCTCAATAAAACTTTATTTACAAAACAGCAGACCAACTCAGACTTCTTTCTGTCAGACAGTGACATCACTCTTTTGACAGAAACAAGATTCTTTAATGTCCCTTCACTGTCTATACAATAATGTCTCAAATGCTTAGACGAGGCTCTAACTCTTCAGACTGATGTTGGACTATTTGGCAACATAAAGTCTTCCTCCCTAAACACATATCACGCACACTCACGATTTCCTACCACACTCTCTAATCCCTCTGTTTACACAAAGTACATGACTCCTGACAAAGCTTACCACTCAAGTCCCAGCCAAAGAGCTTCTTGGATATCTTTAGATAATAGCCACGGTCCATCCCTGTTTAAAACTGGTACTTGGGCTACCTTTATGGTGCTCTTTAACTTTTTCTGTATTTATGTTATCTTCCTATCTGGAATATATAGCATTTGAGAACAACAGCTCTATTTCAGTCTTATGTCACCAGTTAGAACCAAATCTAAAGTTATAAGAGTTTGAGGGTGCAATTAAAATGTTGTCCGATGAAACTGTAGGAAAAGTTCTCTTAAAAGTAAGAATTTTCTTTTAGTTGAGTAAAATTTACCTTGGTAACCAACCCCTTTTCTCAATGCAAGGGAAGATATGGATGACCTTCCTTTCACTACAGCCAAGGTTTTCTTCACTATAAACTTTCTGACATCTCCCACTTCTCTGGACTCAGGGTAGTCACTTGTAGGAGGCCCTTTCTTCTCATCCTGATATAATCCAAAGTTTATGTGCCTGTCAAGATCTGAACTGCTATTTTCTTCAGGAAGATGTGTCTGAGTCTCCTAAGCAGAAATTTCTTTTGATGAGATAAAATGTGAGTATAGCTAAATAAAACTGTAAATGTGTACTTATAGTACTTTACATATAGAATTATACTATTATTTTTCAAAATGCTTATATTCTATCAACAGTACTTCCTAAATGATACACATATGCATACACACACACACACACACACACACACACACACACACACACACACACACACACACACACACACATATATATCTCCATCCAAAATATACATTGGAAGTTCACATAAAATTTCATGTGACTGCTGTATTATAAAGAGTTCACTGTCAGACAGATGTTGCTATTCTCCAATTTCCTTATCTGATTAAAGGAGAAAGACAAAAGTGGATATGCTAATAAAACGTTGGGCTGAAAATCTGATTTCAGAAGAGAAAGCTGAGATCAATGCTCCTTAAACTGCTCTGTTTCCTTTTATGGGATACCATTAACAGAATAGTAGAAAGTACATATGAGGAGGTTAGAACTCAATTTAAAAAATTGATTGTGAAACTTGGGAATTATTATTTTTTTTAATAATTCAATTAAATCAACCTTCAACAGACTCAATGTATAATCCTATATATTTTACAACTCTAGTTCACTGGGAAAAGCACTGTAATATTCGTGTTATTACAATTGAGGCAGCCTTTTCTTCATCTTGCTATATTAGGCACATCAGTTGCTCAGCTGTGTCCACTCTTTGTGACCCAATGGACTGTAGCCCTCGGGGCTCCCCTGTTCATGGGATTCTCCAGGCAAGAATACTGAAATGGGTTGCCATTCCCTTCTCCAGGAGATCTTCCCAACCCAGGAATCAAATCTGAGTCTCCTGCGTTGCGGGCAGATTCTTTACCACTGAGCCCCAGGGAAGCCCCCGTATCTTAGGTGTGCCAGTCATCAAATATAGAACAGAAGAACATAATCAAATTAGATTAATTAGTAGATTAAAAAGCACATCTCCAAACAGAATGACAGTTTGCGTAACTGCAAATATAGCATTTCGTGGATTGCAAAGGTTCCAACACTGCATGAACTCTTTGGGAGAGAAAATAGAGAAAAAGGGTTAATTTCACAGTCATGCAGTAAAGTTAGGTTTCCAACAAATATTGAACCAACTTACTCTCTATTGAGAGTTCCAACACAG